TTGCATATTCCCTCCCTTTCTGTTTTGGAAAGTTAGTGTCCAAATTCACTTTCGTTATGCATGATTTCAGATCTTCCAAAATTAGAAAGCACAAACAGCCGTTTCGCAGCAATTATATTCTCTTGGCTTCCAACGGCACTTTGCAAACAGGCCTTGGGGGTGGAGAATGGGTGATTAACCTATTGATTCAGAAGAGCGCACGTCTTTGGCACCCAGGAAAGCGTATGCAGCAGACTAATGGGAGAGCTACATGCTGATCAGAGTGATCATGTGGTCAGTGGGATCAGATCTGAGACTTCCATCACGTACTGGCTCGGTCAGCAACTCGCCCTTCTAATATGTGTAAACAGTAGTTGTCAACAGGAGACAAGAGCCGCTCTAGTTGAAAGTAATCCTTGAAGAAGGGGAGGTTTGCTACTCTTATCTCTTGTATTTGCAACACAAGAGAAGCAATGATTTGTCAAGGGCCATCCAAATAAGCGTATCAAATTGCTCCAGGTTTCTGACCTATTATCAAATGCAACCTAATATAGCCATAATAGAATTAGAAGGTCCAATGATTAAACTTTAGCTGCTAGAATCTATTTTGAGGTGTAGAGGTGGGGATGATGATCGACTATTATTTGCTTGCCTGTTAGATGCAGAAGGAACAAGGACAAGTTAACACTCCTTGTGTCCTTAACATAGTAAATACAGATTGTTTCAGGACTGAATCTCAGGCTATATCCTTGGATAAATGCAACTTAAATCTCAAACACATTTTATTCCCCTGCTTCTTTTTTATATCTCCAGATATTTAGCTAACTTATCCCATGAGTTCTTGAAAAGTTAGATGTGTAAACTTAAATTTATGCTGTGCTGTTATTTGTTATTTATTTGTCAAACATGTACAAGATAACAGGTATACTGTAAGTATAAACATGGACATGAACATAGGAAATGAAAACAAATAAATGGGGACAGTAGGATAGGGATGGTAGGCACGTTGGTGCACTTAAGCACGCCCCCTTTACGGACCTCTTAGGAATGGGATGAGGTCCACGGTAGACAGTTTAAGGTTGAAGCTGTGGGGGTTTGAGGATGTAACAATGGAGTCAGGTAGAGCATTCCAGGCATTGACCACTCTGTTGCTGAAGTCGTATTTTCTGCAATTGAGTTTGGAGCGGTTTACCTTGAGTTTGTATTTATTGTTTGCCCAAGTATTATTGAGGTTGAAGTAGTTGTTGATAGGTAGGACATTGTAGCAGACAATTTTGTGTACTATGCTTAGGTCAGACCGTAGGCGGCGTAGTTCCAGGGCCAAAATTTTGAGTCTGATGGCATAAGGGATTCTATTGTGAGCAGAGGAGTGGAGTACTCTTCTCGTGAAATACCTCTGAACCCGCTTAATTGTATTAATGTCCGATATACAGTGTGGATTCCAGGCAGACAAACTGTATTCGAGAATTGGTCTGGCAAAGGTTTTGTATGCCTTAATTAGCATTACAATGTTACCAGAGTAGAAGCTTCACAAAATTAGGTTAACAACTTTTAACGCCTTTTTGGCAATGCTGTTACAGTGAGTTTTGGGGCTTAGATCAGCTTTGGGGCTGTAAATATATTGTCTTTGGATTTTTTGTGTGTGATGGTCAATGTAAAGTCATTTGATTTATTGTGAATCCATCAATTCATAGCGAGCCCCAAAAGTTGGCAAGGACAAGCAAGTGCAATACTGCAGTTGCATGTCATAAAGATTCCTACTGCCAAAAAGCAGTTCTACATATTTACTTTTGCTTGGCTATAACTCCCAAGCGGATAAAATGGAGCTGATATCCACCCTTGGTCTTAATAAAGTAATAAAGTTTCAGAGGCTGACAAGGCAGGACATGTGCCATGACTTCAAGATTAGCAGAAGGCCTCAAGATGGATAAAACAACTTTACTACACTATTTATACTTTCCGCATAACATCCTAGAGATGTTTGGCCACAGGGCCAGAGAATTTTCAGTCTGCATGTCTACTTGTTTTAGGGGAGAAGCATCTCCAAATCCTGGGGTCAGCACTGGATGTTCTTACGAAGGAACATCAAGCTTAGCTTTATTTACATACCCCAAAGACTTTCTTCTGTACTTCTGTTTCCTAGCCTGAAGTAGTTCTGAGAAAAGTTCCGATGCTTCCTTGACCAAGACTGCTAAAGGCTTAAGAGTTGGCCTTACACTGACCTTACATCTGTGTCACAAAGACCTGATGTAAGATCATCCATCACCTGCAGCAGAAAACTTCAACTGGAATATAAAGGACCAAATTTCAAGGATTATTCCTGATTCATGCAAAAGTTCTTTGCTAGGCAGTAACATTCCTCAAAATCACAATGGAATCCATTCTTGGACATTATTTAAAAACCCCTTGCCTTTTTTTCCCTGGGTTGTTCTAACTTTTTTCCATGGTTGACTCCATACATGAATCTCTTGGTCATATCCAGGGCTCCCAGTTCGGACCGGATCACCCAATCCGGGAGTGATGGCGGCGGGTGGTTCGGAGAACCGGTAGCAAAAATCCCTGCCCCTCCCCCCATGCCCAGCTGAGCCGCGCGATCATCAGAGGCTTTTTTTTTATTTTTAAAAGCATTTTTTCTACAACCTTTTCGGTGAGAAAAAAATGCTTTTAAAAGTAAAAAATAAAGCCTCTGATAATTGTGCGGCTCAGCTGGGATCGTCAGAGGCTTTTAAAAGCATTTTTTTCTACCTCAGCCGAAAAATGCTTTTAAAAGAAAAAAAAAAGTTGCCCACGCCCACTCAGTCACATTATCCCCCTACCAAACCCCATTTGGATTTCACCACTGGATAGGGTCCTTAAGTAACTCAAGGTGGCAAACATTCCTAGTATTCCTTCTTCCTGTTTTCCTCACAACCACCACCCTATGAGGCGAGCTGGGCTGAGAGAGAGAGAGAGTGGCCCAGAGTCACCCATCTGACTTTAATGCCTACGGTGGGACTAGAACTCACAATCTCCTAGTTTCTAGACCGCTGCCGTAACCACTACCATCAAACTGGCCTACACCAGGGATTTATTTTAGGTGATCTTAAGGCCAATCGGCAATCTCTTTTGGGCTGGGCTAGGCAGCTCAATGCCACAAACAACCGTTTCTGAGAAACATTCACATGTGAGCCCATAAGCTATCTAGGCCACGCCTTTTAGCACTTTATCTTCTCAAAAGTTTGCTTTTGAGTACTGGTGGATTTTAACTAAAAGAGCTGAAATGTTTGTTCAGGGAATTTCAGAAGGTTAAAAGATAAGCTTGGCAAAGATTTTGTTTTCAAGAGCCTTTGCAAGACTTCCAGCAATAGTTTGTTGAGATAAATTATCCAGTCAGTTGCAAGATACGCTGATTGGCAAACATAAGAAGCTGCTTTAGGGGAAGCATAGCTGCAGCTAACTTTATATTATCAACAGCAGAGTTTCTCCACCATAGCACTTTCAGATGTATGGACTCTGACTCCCAGAATTCCCCAGCCCAGAAGAAGTCCGGGAATGAATCTGGAGCTTCTCCACATGCATTTTGTTCAAGCACCGAGTTACACCGGTTTCTCAAATACAACCAGGAATGTGTTGAAATTATACTCACGTTGTCTTAGCAAAATGGATCACCAAGCTGACATGGAGATTTGCATTACCAAATTATATAGGAATGCAACCTACTTCATGGATCCCAAAGACTAAGGGAGATCTTCTACTCTTCAGCACATAACCGATAAGATCCCTTTTGCTGATCTGAAAAAGCTATACCTCTGTTTTTCACCAATTCCAGACAAAGCACATTACTAAAAGCTCAAACAATTTCATTGTGGGCCGCATAATGGCCAGCTCAACGTCACTCGTGTCGGGGGCACCTGTGGTGGCCAAGGCAGGACTTCCCTCATACCCTCCTTCACTCTCATTATAATATCCTTCCTTCCTTCCTTCCTTCCTTCCTTCCTTCCTTCCTTCCTTCCTTCCTTCCTTTTCTTTTTCTTTCTTTCTTTTTCTTTTCCTTTCTTCCTTCCTTTCCTTCCTTCCTTCCTTTCCTTCTTTTTCCTTCCCTCTTCATTCTCTCTTCTTCCTTCCACTCTTATTTTTTTCTTCCTTGCTCTCTTCCCATCTTTCCTTCTTTTTCTTTGCCTTTCCTCTTTCCCTTTCTCCTTTCCTGTTCCTTCTTGCATGCTCAAATGCAAAAGGGAAAACATTTCTCCTTTTGTTTTGTTTTTAGTTTGTTTTGATAACCCTCTGCATGCGCCCCCCACCCCAAGTTCTTCTGGCAGATGCACCGCAAGCTGCTCCTTTGTGGTTTCCAGGGTGGCCCCGCAGGCCAGATCTAAGCACCCCGTGGGCCGGATCCGACCCACAGGCCTTGGGTTTGATACCCTTGCCCTATACCATCCTAATCAAATGGTTGTCCAGTCTATTTTTGTCCAGTGATGGAGCAGCCACAGCTTTTGGCAACAGAGCTTTCCTGGAAAGAGGCATAGATTGAGAAACTGCAGAGTCCCAAACTGGAAGGGATAGGAGGGGAAGAGGTTCAGGGTAGCCATACCCTAAAATCCCTCAAGATATATCTAGTAGGTTAGCATATTGCAGCTTTAGTTTGGCAAGATAGCAATAGCATAGCATAGCATAGCATAGCATAGCATAGCATAGCATAGCATAGCATAGCATAGAATTCTTTATTGGCTAAGTGTGATTGGACAAACAAGGAATTTGTCTTAGTGCATACGCTCTCCGTGTACATAAAAAAAAAGATATGTTCGTCAAGAATCATAAGGTACAACACTTAATGATAGTCATAGGGAAACAGTCAATATAAATCTTAAGGATACCAGCAACAATAGAATAGAATAGAATAGAATAGAATAGAATAGAATAGAATAGAATAGAATAGAATAGAATAGAATAGAATAGAATACTTTATTGGCCAAGTGTGATTGGACACACAAAGAATTTGTCTTAGTGCATACGCTCTCAGTGTACATAAAAGAAATCTGGTATCTGGTAAACAAAAAGGCAACTTTATTTTTTTCCAAAAACAAACACTTTGAATCAAGAGTCACAGCGCCGATAAAGAAAATACATTAAAAAAAAACATAACTTAATGCGGAGCAAAAGATTGAATTCAGGAGATTTGAGGGCTGCCCGATCTGTAGATTACTGGGTGATAAGTAGGGGAGGAAGAAGAGGGCACCATCTGGGAGGAGGCCTGGAGGAAAAGAGGCTACCAGATGGCGAGGTGTCCGTCAGGGATCATTTCACTGAAGCCGGCACCAACGTGAAATGTATCGGCACACTCAGGCGAATGCTCCAGACATTATGTTCTCGCTGCCTCACGCACACAGAATTGTTCCATTTTAAGGCAAACATCCCTCAGGAAGAGGCAAAAGAAAGTTATCAGTTGGATGCTCAGGGTTACAGGCCTTTCATTAAGTCTGAAGTGACAAGATAAAAGAGGATAGCTCAGCCTTAAGAACCTGCAAAAATGGTGATTTTTTTTTTCACAGACTGCAAGATATTTTTAAAGTTTTGCTCTGCAGCTCAAGGCAGGTAACAACCATTAAATGCGCAGGTGTCCAAATAAAACTGAAGTAAAATCAATCAAACAATATAATAACCCCCCACCCCCACCCCAAGCACTTTTGTTTCAGTCTAAGAAGTTTCAACTAGTTGGAAATACTCCGACCATCTTCTCAAGTCAGAGAAGGTCTGTCAGAAAATTTGCAAATTTTAGACCATGGTGCTTGTGAGTTTTCAAGAAAATATACTAAGTCAGGGCTTGGCAACTTTAAGACTTGGAGTTCAACTCCCAGAATTTCCCAGCCAGCCATACTGGCTAAGGAATTCTGGGAGTTAAGATCTACAGATCTTAAAGTTGCCACAGTTGGACACCCCTGAAGTAAATCCATTATTGACCCTATGCCAAACAGGAATTCCTGAAAGGAAACCTGCGATATGTATCCCACATTTATTTATTTACTTATTTCCATTTATTATTATTTTTACAAATAACTTCAGGCGGCGAACATATCCAACACGTCTTCCTCCTCCTTTCTCCCCCCCCCCCACAACAACCACCCTGTGAGGTGAGTTGGGCCAAGAGCAAGTGAGTGGCCCCAAAGACATCCAGCTGGCTTTCATAGCTAAGGTGGGACCAGAACTCATAGTCTTATGCTTTATAGCCTGGTCCTTCAACCACTAAATCAAATTGGCTCTCAAAATGTCTGAAAAATCTTGTTGGGTGGCATCTGATTATCCTGTTTTATAAGCTGGGTTCCACAAATGAATCCTGGGTTTCTTTTCTTTGGCTTAAAACAAAAGAGCCTTGGTAGCACAGTGGATTAATGCACTGTTATTAACATCTGCTGCCTGCAATTACTGCAAGTTCAAATCCCACCAGGCTCAAGGTTGACTCAGCCTTCCATCCTTTCTAAGGTAGGTGAAATGAGGACCCAGATTGTGGGGGCAATAAGCTGACTTTGTATAAAATATACAAAAGTATGAAGGCTATTGCTTAACGCATTGTAAGCCCACCCTGAGTCTCCGGAGAAGGGCGGCATATAAATAAAAAATAAAAAATAAAATGCCTTAAAACATGTTCTGGATTTCCTTAACTTCAGGGATAACTGTTCCTGGCACTGAGAGTAACAACAAGCATAAATCATCCCATTTGGACTTCTCTCATGAACTTATGTCTACTGTAGGAATCTGGCCAATGGACAAAATAATGCAGGTTTTGTCTTTAAGCCAAACTCTGCATCAGGGAGGTACCACACAAAGTTGTGTTGGCTGCTAAATTCACCTCCCTCTCCAACTGTACAGTCTAGTTGGGGCAACCTTTGACTAGGCCTGCAATAGTTAAATTTAGCTCTTGTAACCCGAGTTGTTTGCTCCAAACTGAATCTTATGTATATTTCAGAAATGCCTAGAAAGCTTCACATTTTCCTGGGAACCCAACTTCATAACAGTTGCTATTTGAAGCTGGTTATTGCTGGGCTGTAAATTACCAAGGGGGAAAGGAGGCGGTAGACTGTTGCTTGTTTTGCATTGTACGACCTGAGGGCTTAGTACCAGTCTAAAAATTCAGATTTGAATCCCAAGATTTCAGAAAGAAAGGAACTGGGAACAAGGGGTGAGGAACTTGTGGTTCTCTAGATGTTGACGTATGGTTTCTATAATCTCCAGCTTTTAGGCCACAAGGGCTAAAGTGGATGGGTTTTAGCAACCCACAATACCTAAAGAAGTTTCGATCTTCTATAATAAGCATGCAGAGACAGCAAAAAGCCAGAGCTGAAATTTTCCAGGATTTAGAAAACTCACATGGGACCAAACTGAAATGTAATACTGAGGGCGAAAAATTAAAAAAGAGCCAAGGGCCAGAATCTAACTGACATGTAGTTTTCTAGCTGCTGGACTCCAACTCCTACCAGCTCCTGACCTCAATGGGTCCATGGGAGTTGGGATAAAAATATTTTAAACCCTCCCATTCCTAGGTACTAACATTTGAAATGATGGACGTTTAATTCCTTCTCAGAGTAGGAAGAGCGAGTAATAGCAGGAAGGAGAAATTGCTTGACAGAAGTAACAAGCTCAATCATCTTTTCGTTCTGCCTAATGAGCAACTTTTGTTTTTTTAGGGAGACTGCTAGCTTTGACAACGAAATGAGTTAAAAAAAACACGAACCTTCTGTAAATATTGCTTGAAGCAGTAGTAGAGAGGGAACAGCAGGGAACAAAAAGACCCATAGTTCAAATCCTCCCCATCCTACTCTCTAGTTGCCAATAACCTGATGATAATTAGAGCATGAAGTTTAGAAGATCTGTTTGACTGTAACAGAAACCCCTGTATCATCAATACTAGTCATGATCTGCTGTACTACGGTTCGGGGATCATAATTTTGCAACTGAGCATTCCAACAAAGGTCTTGTTACACACACACTCATACACACACACACTCACACACACGGCGAGCGCTTCAAGAAGCAGTGGAATCCAATCAATCAGATGTAGGGACCTGGCAGCTCAGCGGAGACTTCACATGATCAGGTTAACCAGCACAAAGCTATGTTCTGTGAACACTAAGAGAGTTGATGCAAGGTCAGTCTGCCATTTGGCTGACAAAACAGACAAAGGTTAAGGCCGTGTTTCTCAACCTTAGCAAATGTTTAAGACCTGTAGACTTCAATTCCCAGAATTCCAGAATCAGCATCTTAAAAGTTGCCAAGGTTGAGAAACAAACAGTCTTAGTGCTTCATTTCTTCCCTCACTCTTCCAAACAGGGCAGGATAAGGGATGCAGACAAATAAAGCTCACTCTTATTTGGATTGGGGCAGTACTGAACCTTTAGGGAGGTCACCGCCAGCAAATATCAGTGGTAGTTAGGGAGAAAACAAATTTGGCCACTCCCCATCTGGCCATGTCCTCAGTCATCACATACTGCTACCTCAAGGGGATGAGTCAGTCGCTCAAGGCAGTGGTAACTCAGGCTGGCTTCTAAGAACACGGTCTAAAATTCTCTGCAAATAAAATTCTAGCCTAGCACAAGGGAGAAGCTAAGCCAAGCTTCTTTCTGTTCTGACCTAGGCTTCCTGAGTCAGTAAAACACATGAATAGTCCCAAAAACCTGTTTTATTTTAACAGCTGTGAATTCTGTTCATTCACAGGTTGAGTCCCAAATAGTTGTAAAGAGTCCTTCGGGATAAGGCTGATAACCACTCACCTTTATCTCCCTTGACACGCTGCCAAAGACTTAATTGGCAAAGCCACACGGAGTCCAGAATCAAACAGAGCTTCAGACCTTAAACTGCACAGAATTAAGAATGTTGCTTCCTGCGAAGGCCCACATGCCTTTGCTCCTCTTTTAAGTCTTAAGGGATGGGCCAAACATCTCCAAGTCCTACTCCCGAGTTGTCCCTTTTGTTTTAGCTGTTCTTGTCTTCTGGCAGCTCTGCACATGTGCACACTGGGAACAGGCTCCCCCTGTTCCTCTGCCTCGCTGAGGTCTGACTATGGAGGCTCTGGAGGTAGCATGTACCTCCCAGATGGCCCTTTCTCTGCCTCCGACGCAGAGCCCTTGTCCGAGCTTTCCCCAGACTCCAGGCCTGGCCCATGTTCCTCCCCAGCCTCCTCACTGTCCGACTCTGCTGCCAGCGCTGCAGCTGCTGGCGGACCACAACACTTTCATGCTAAATTATTTTATTACAGAGGGTACTTTTTTAAAAAAAAAATGATAAGAAAGAAGTTTAAACTGCAGTTCTGGAGCCTATAATCTGAAATGATTCAGGCTAACTCTTAAATCTAGAGTCTCACTTCATTGCATGGAATAGATCAGGTGAAGATCCCAAAGGTGCTTTTCAAAAGGCAAATGGACTTTGGTTTTTTTCCCTTGAATTTGAATTTCAAGGGATAAAAAACAAAAACAAAGTCCAGTTGCCTTTTGAAAAGCACCTTTAGGACAACCATGAGCTGGATGATTGAGAATCTCCACAGACGTTCAACAATCTCTCTCTTCCAGCCCCCAGATTTCTAAGTCGTCTGGACTATGTTTATGACCGTTTCATGGGCTTGACAGATGGAGAGAGACGACAACTCCAGTTTCTACAGCCATCACTATAAGCTTTCCGAATAGCAAGGAGCAGACTGTAAAGAAGATAAGAGTTTCACAATGTCCAAAGCTCAAAGCCTTGAGCAAGAGGAGATAATGGGACCTAATAGCCAAACAACACAGCTTTGCATCAGGAAAAAAAAAATCTTCTTAGAAAAGGACCAGGAAAAAAAAAAAGAGGACAGAAGCAAATGTTCTGGGGGATTGGGAAGAGAGTTTTGTGAACTTGAAGCTACCTTTTTAATCTGAGAAATCAATCACATGTTAAGATAAGTCTTATTTCTGTCTTGTTTTGGAGTGGGAACAACAGGAGGAGAGAATATTCCAGCCAACTAATAACAAATCCACATTCTTTTTCTAATTTGACCTCGTCTGCAAGCCACCACCCACTCTGCGGCCGAGAGATTTCCACATTCGCAAGGAGAACATCTGAAACACAAAGATCTTGGGATCTGAAGCTTAGGAAAAAAAAGAAAAAAAAGAAATGTAGTGTGTAATCACCAGTTACGCCAGTGGCCAGCTTGTTATAAATTCAGCACGTACATTGTCATCATCACATACACACCCAGGGCATATCACTGCTCCCTAGTCTTAAGAGAGCTTCAGGGGTTACCCGCTTGAAATGTTCAAAGTTCTACATTCAGTGTTCTGTAGCAAGTTGAGACCAAAGAGAAAGAGTAAAGCCGTATCCATGGCAGAGGGGTTCTCTTTGGCGGTCTTTGCTTCAGCTGGTTCAGGACCATCTTCATTGCAAAAAAAGAAGAGAAGAAGATGAAGATGTAGACAGGGCAGAGGGTATTCATTGCACAATTCATTAAAATGCTGCCGTCTCCAACTTTGGTGCACACCAAGGTAGTCATCAAGAGACATCAGCATGGGAGGCAAGACCTGCTCGAATTTTTGAACAGGAGCTGGCCACCTCAGCATCGAACTCCAAAACCTTGGGCCACCGTTGGCAAAACCAGTGGATGGCTCCCCAGGTAATGATGATGAAACAGGTCGGTTTCCTTCACACATCAAGGGAACAGTTCATGTTGAAACCACCTCTGCCTCTCACAGTGTCGCTTTTTGGCAGAGTGACTGAAAAGTCCATCCTCATACAAAACGCTTCCAAAAATAGCCACAGGTAGAAGGTGAGGTAACTCGATTTTTTTTTTTCCACCAGACATTCCAGAAACAGGTCTTTGGAAGAAAGCTCCCTTGCCCAGGAGCAAGGCTGCCTCGCCCATAAAGTCCGGTCAGGTCATGTAACGGGTGATGGCACGCAGAGCGTACAGTAGGGCTGCCTGCATGCGGGCCTCCAAAAGCAGCAGGTTGACGTGCACCTAAAAGACAAGAATTGATTGTTTTGATTGTTTGATAATATTGATTGTTTCCTAGTTTGATTCGATTGCTTATTTGTATCCTATGACTATCATTATGTGTTGTACCTTATGACGAATGTATCTTGTCCTTTTATGTACACTGAGAGCCTATGCACCAAAGACAAATTCCTTCTGTGTCCAATCACACTTCAATTCAATTCAATTCAATTCCATTCCATTCCATCCCATCCCATCCCATGAAGAGGCCTGATAGAAAGTGATGTGAGACTTGCAACAAGCAGAGCAGGGGTGGGTTCTAAATTTTTTTACTACCGGTTCTGTGGGCGTGACTTATTTTGTGGGCGTGGCTTGATGGTCATGTGACAATTATTTAGGATTTAGCAGAGGTACTGGTCTACCAGGCTTTTAACTGCTTGCAGAGCTGTACTGATCTTCCCATTTATTTTTTTCAGGCACTGGTCTACCCATTTGTTTTTGCAGGCACTGATCTACTCATGTATTTTTGCAGGCACTGGTCTACTAATTTGTTTTCTTTTAACACTGATCAACTGTAGGGCGGCCCTTTGAAGCCCTGCGGCAAGAGTTTAAACAGTTTTTTTTCCCTCTAGCCATCAGTTGGGACTCAGGAGGCAGCAATAGATTGGGGGTGGGGCCAAATAAAAGATAAGAATAACGCGGGGGGTGCGGGAGGGGCAGAACCGGTTCGGTGACGTCATATCATCACCGCTACCGGCTCGGGAGAACTGGGCCGAACCGGGAGGAACCCACCACTGAAACAGAGAGGCCTGGCACCAAAACCTGACACCCCAGAAAACTACTTAGATCTCAAAATAACAGGCACGAGCAACCAGAACCACTCCATGAACAGGCCTAAATAGATACTTTATTGTTGATCACCTATATTACAGGAAACTTGCCAGACTGTCTGGGAAATGGCAGATATAGACTTAAAGGTTTGCCCTCCAATGTTTCCCCCCCCCCCCCCCCCGAACCGCCCCCAAGCTGGAATGTCTCTTTACTCCCCCTAGAGGGAACCCCCCCTCCTTCAGCCAGTGAATCTACCACACAAAGGGATCCACTACTAACACTTAGATATCAAAAAGATCCACTACCACTTCTTTACTTAGTATGTCCCTTGTTTGGTTCTTGTTTTCCTTCCTTTTCAGGATTACAGCTGAGTATTGTGCAGCTCCATTTCCAACTCTCAAACATCCCTAAGGCAAAAATTTGGCAGTTGAGGATTTGCACCCTTAACACCTGGGAGGAACTCAAAAGATCATACTGGATTAGGTTGGTGATGCAACTTAATGGGTGGGGGTGCAGATGCTTATTTTCGTGGGTTTGCAGGTGAAATTTAAAGACTCTGTTTTTGTTTTTCTGCTGCTTTATGTGTACGTTAGGCTTATGCTTCGGTTGTTATGTGCTTCCTGTCCCAAAAGAGCTGAAAATCATGAAAGCAGAAAACCGGGCCCTTCTGAGCAATTGGGATCTTTTGCCCACATCCCAGAATATTGTTGTGGTTAATTAGGAAGAAGGTAATTAATATAAACACACCAGTGGTGGGATTCAAAATTATTTACTACTGGTTCTGTGGGCGCAGCTTGGTGGGCGTGGTGTGGCTTGGTGGGCGTGGCAGGGGAAGGATACTGTAAAATCTCCATTCCCACCCCACTCCCGGGGAAGGTTATTGCAAAATCCCCTTTCCTCCCAATCAGCTGGGACTCGGGAGGCAGAGAATAGATGAGGGCGGAGCCAGTCAGAGGTGGTATTTACCGGTTCTCCAAACTACTCAAAATTTCCGCTACCGGTTTTCCAGAACTGGTCAGAACCTGCTGAATACCACCTCTGAAACACACCCCTCCTGATACAATTTTCCTTCCTCTCTTCTTTCCTTTCTCCAAAACAAGGCCTGTTCTGTGCCTCCTTTGCTCTCCATAAATCAGAACTCTTGGCAAGAGTCAATATGATATCATTAATGTAGGAATGTCCTTAATATAGCTATAAAGAAATGGTGTCATGCTAACACAACAAATAGACGCCAAAGGGAACAAAGTCCCCAGCTTACCTCAAAAGTTCACTAGGTGATAATTGGCCAGTTCCTATTTCATAGTGAACAGTTTCCTACATTGGCTAAACCACAGTTTGATTGTTGAATCCACCGTGAGTGGCAGTCATAGAACGTACAATGTTTTTCAAACTTGCCAACTTTAAGATGTGTGGACTCAACTCCTAGAATTCCCCAGCCAGCCATGAAGTCCACACATCTTAAAGTTGCCAGGTTTGAAACAGATTGTGCTAAACCAGGGGTCTGCAACCTTAACACTCAAAGAGCCATTTGGACCCGTTTCCCACAGAAAAGAAAACACCGGGAGCCACAAAACCCTTCCAGTGCCTGACTATTTCTTGAGCGGCCACAAAACTAGCATATGTAGTTGAATTAAATGTCCTGTTTTCTTCTAAAACTTTTCTTTTCTTGGATTTATCCATGGTTGGCCTACTGGGGGTTTAAAAGCTCAATAAATCACGTGCTGATTGAATAACAGGGAGCTGCAGCAGAGGGGTGAAAGAGCCACATGCGGCTCCAGAGCCGCAGGTTGCCGATCTCTGTGTTAAACCATGAATTGGGATCTATATTGTGCAGTGCCTGAGTTAATCTACAGGTGAAGCCAAAATCAAAGGAAACATATTCTCACTAAATGTAACATGCAACCCCAATGTTGGTCAATCAGCGATTCAAGTAGGGAAGCCAAACAACCCATCACCCAGTAGAACTCGCTTTACCTTTTCCGAATGTTTGAAATGTCTCCAGAAATGAGTGTACATTCTTTTAGTGGTTTTTTCCGGGTAGCAGGCCACAGTTTTAATGTAGATTTTCAGGCTACGTTCCAAAAGCTGGTTCACTTCCCTGTAATCATAGTCATCATACCTACAAGAGACCACATATGGGGTTTACAATATATCAGCCAGCACAGATGATCAACTTTCCAACACCCCACATACTTTTTTTAGATATGATGGGTTATATGATGGCAAAACAATTATATCATTGGCCAAGATACATGGGAAAATCCAGCTTGTTGCCTTCAGGTTAGGGAAGGCTGGGTGGACATCAGAATCCTAAATCAGCAATCAGGGATCATTTAATGTCCTCATTCAGAATTTTAGCCAAACAACCTGGCGGAGAATGGCTTGGAGATCTGGAATCTTTCGGTCTGCAAACATCACCCAACCCCTCAAAAATCCAATCAAGTCTTTTGATGTATGAGCCGTGATGGGGCAATAGTTAGAATGCAGTATTGCAGGCTAATTCTGCCGACTGCCAGCAGTTTGATTCTCACTGGCTCAAGGTTGACTCAGCCTTCCATCCTTTCGGGTCGGTAAAATGAGGACCCAGATTGTTGGGGGCAATATGCTGACTCTGTAAGCCGCTTACAGGGGGCTGCAAAGCACTGTGAAGGGGTATATAAGTCTAAGTGCTATTGCTATTGCTATAACAATATCAAGAGCTATGGTGGCAGGTTAGAATGCAGCATTGCAGGCTAACTCTGCCCATTGCCAGGAGTTCAATCCTGACCAGCTCGAAGTTGACTCAGCCTTCCATCCTTCCAAGGTGGGTAAAATGAGGACTCAGATTGTTTTGGGGTAAGATACTGACTCTGTAAACCGCTTAGAGAGGGCTGTAAAGCACTACAAAGCAGAATATAAGACTGCTATTGCTATTTAGTGACCCTTCAAAATTATAATGGCATTGAAAAAAAGAGACTTATGACCGGTTGTCGCATTTATAAACGTTATAGCATCCCCACGGTCACATGATCAAAATTTGGACATGTCTTCATGATGGTTGCAAGATCCACATATGACCACTATATGTGACCTTCCCAGCCAGCTTCTGACAAGCAAAGTCAATGAGAGAAGCTGGATTTGTTTAATGACCTCATGATCCACTTAACAACTGCAATGATTCATTTAACAATCACGGCATAAAAAAAAAAGTTGTAAAATTGGGCACAACTCATTTTTTTTCAGTGCTGTTGTAACTTTAAATGGTCACTAAATGAACTGTTGTACGTCCAGGACTACCTGTACTGTCTTCCTTGGAAATGGTCAACTGAAAGCAGGCCATGAATACAAAGTCAAATCTAAACCAGTAATAATACCACTTTTTAAATTATATTTACACCTCCATTTTTCTCTCTGCCATCTTATTTATCTTCTTGCCCAGGAAGCATGGAAAAATTGCTGCTAGAGGATTTCTGAAAGTAATCCAGGGATCTAGTTCAAGAGCCCTAGAGCTGAGGTCTTGCCAAGATTTTTTTTTTTAATTTTACAGTGCCAGAACTTGAACTGGGAACTTCTCCATGCAAAGCAGCTGGTCAGGAGAATTTGCATGGAGAAGTTGTCTCCAATTTAATCCCAGCAAGCCAACATTTGCATCATCCCTCTTTCTTTCTTTCTTTCCTTTCTTTCTTTGTTTTTTGTTTGGTATTATTGTGGGAGGGTTTGGTAGTTAATAGTGGCATGTGTGGGATTTTTTTTAATTGAAAAAGAAAAACTAGATATCTAAGGAACTATATAACCTGTAGTGCAAAGATATCAATGAAATGGCTGAGATTGATTGTTTGGTCCGTGGGGCTTCCTAGAGAAACAGACTCATAAAAAACTAGCAAAGGTTTGATTTCAGAAGGAAATCATGGCTCACAAATCAGCGATTCATTATTGCATTTTGGCGGGCTGGTCTTGAAAGCCTTTTGAAACAACTTTTTTAAAAATGGAGAAGGAGACTGTGTGAAATCCATGAACGATCCAGTCCTTGCTGTAAAGGTTTCCTCAGTTTACACACAGGCAAGAAGAAAACAAGTTCTCCCTCATGCTTTGAGCATGCGTTACTTCCTATTTCTTGTAAATTAGATGATTCACGTCCTTTAGTCACACCAATGATTGCCATCCCTGCATAGCCATCCATCCTAAAGTCACCTGGCCAAACCACATACAACTGTTTTACCTCAGGCAATTCGTTTGACGGGACAAGGATGCTCAGTCACTTGTTCACCTGCAATGCCAGGTCGTGTGTTCTGAATTATACACTGAATTTTGGATTCACAGCCTCCATCTTTCTCTGGTGCACTCGGCTTGCTCAGTTATTCCCTGTTTAGAAGCAAACCTTCTCCTGCTTTGTACATGCTGGCAAACAACAGCTCAGCCAGGATGGCTGAACCAGCATGATTAAAAACCAGAAAGTAACTAGCTATACAGATCAGGGGGAGAAGAAGTGCTCCATGGCAAGGGCCCAGCTATCTGCGAGACCGCCTGCTGCTACCAACGACCTCCCATCGACCCGTGCGCTCCCACAGAGAGGGCCTCCTCAGGGTGCCATCAGCCAAACAATGTAGGCTGGTGGCCCCCAGGGGGAGGGTCTTCTCTGTGGGGGCTCCCACCCTCTGGAATCAGTTGCCCCCGGAGATAAGGAGAATCCATGACCTCAATGCCTTCCGTCGTTCCCTGAAAACCCATCTTTTCCAGCAAGCCGGGTTGGCTTAAGAAGAAATTTTTAAATTCTTTTAATTAGTTTATGATTTTTTTTTTAACTTTCGGGCCAAAATTTATATATATTTTTAAATGTTTTAATATTTGTATTCTATGTGTTTTATCTTGGCTGTACACCGCCCTGAGTCCTCAGGGAGAAGGGCGGTATATAAATTGGAAATTAAATTAAATTAAATTAAAATTAAGAGAAGGGAAGGGAAGCAGTACAGTAGGCCCAAACTCCTATTGCTGGTTAGCATGGCTTGCCACAATAGGCAAAACAGCTTCATTAGAGCATTCTTGATGTACAACAGTTTGTTTAGTGACCATTTGAAGTTACAACAGCACTGAAAGAAGTGACTTACGAGCACTTTTCACACTTACAATCGTTGCAGCATCCCCATGGTCATGTGATCAAAATTCAGACGCTTAGCAAGTGACTCATATTTATGACAACTGCAGTGTCCCGGATCACTTCTGGCAAACGTATCAGTGGGGAAGCCAAATTCACTTAACAACCTAACTTTACAACTGCAGCGATTCACTTAACAATTGTGGCAAGATAGGTTGTAAAAGGAGGCAAGACGCGCTTAACAAATGTCTCGCTTAGCGACACAAATTTTTGGGCTCGGTTGTGGTTGTAAGTTTAGAGCCACCTGTAGCTGGGCGGTTTTCTTCTTTCCAATGATTAATCAGCCAGTTAGGGAAAAAAAGGATGCACGTTGGTAATTGGTCCATGTCAAAAGCAAGGCAGAAGGAAAAATCTGGATAACGTTTACCCAAATCTGGCAAGTGTGAAGAAAAAGAATTGCAGGGGGGGATGGAAAAAGAGGATGCTGAAGCAACTTACCGAATGCCAAAGACACAGTGGACGTAATTCCAGATAGCCCTTCGGAGCATGGATGTGTCCACCCCACTGTGCATAGCTATGGTGTTATAAGTCAGATTGTACACTACTTGGAATTTCTCATCCAACAGTTGTCCCACATCAGGATACAGCCGGTTGATAAGCGAGTAACCATGATCTTCCCACGTATAGTCCTGCAGAAGGTGAAATACAGGTTGGATCTACAGTCTGCGCTAAACTAGGGTTAGCTAAGGTGACATCTCCTTCAAGCCAATGCCATCCAGAAAGTCACTACAGCTGACTTCATATCGAAAGCTAAACCATAAATCAGTGCACAAAATTATCATGATGAGCTATTTATAACCTGGCTCACATCTAGTATTAAAATATGAACCGTAATTCATACAGCCAAAGGGTGGATTTACAGAACATATTAATTAAGCCAAACCAAACAATTCACCTTTTGATTAGCGTGTGCTGTGGGATTTTTGACATTCGGTTGGGGATGGGGATTAAGCATATATCCAAAGCATGACTCACGGTACCTGGGCTCGGAAAGTGGGAGGTGTCTGCTCTCCTCTCCTGGTGAAATCCTTGTAGCCAAACTCTGGATCCTCCACAAAGCACAGGACGTTGGGGGGCAGGGAGTGTTCAGCAATGTCTGCTGGAGATAGGAACCAAAGCAAACACACGTAAACCAGAATGTGATGCCATCGATAGCACTTAGCACTAGCAATACCATTTAAGATTTATATACCGCTTCGTAGTACTTTACAGCCCTCTCTAAGCGGTTTACAGCAGGGGTCTCCAACCCCCAGGCCATGGACCGACACTGATCTGTGGCATGCCAGAAACCGTGCCACGCAAACAAGCAAAGCCCCAGCCATGGGATGCAGGCAATACAAAAGACCACGCCCCCTCTGGTCCGTGGAAAAACCTCTTTCTATGGAACCAGTCCCTGGTTGGGGGGATGCTAGTTTACAGAGTCAGCATATTGCCTCCCAACAATCTGGGTCCTCATTTTACCGACCTCGGAAGGATGGAAGGCTGAGTCAACCTTGAGCCGGTGAGGATCGAACTGCTGGCAGTCGGCATAATTAGTCTGCAATATTGCATTCTAACCACTGCACTATCACGGCCCCATACATCAAAAGGTTTGGTTGGATTTTTGAGGGGTTGGATGAAGCTTGCAGACCGAAAGATTCCAGGTCTCCAAGCCATTCTCCACCAGGTTGTCTGAATGGGTGGAAGTCTCGCCTCCCTTCAGATGTGGCCCTGCCTCACCTGAGGGAGTCACAAGTAGGCTCTCTCTTTTTTCCATCTCAAAGCGGGTCTCCATCTCTTCCTGGGTGACACTTTCTTCCTCCAGCTGGCATTCCTGCAGCAGTTTCATCCTCTCCATCAGCATTTCCACATCCTCCATAGCATCGTTGCTCTGAGAAAAAGTGAGAACAGGGAAGATCATTTCAGGGCAACAATCCAATGGCCTTACTTCACAATTCTGCGGCAGTGTTGCCTTACTATGCTTTGCCTTTACTATCTGTTGAACTCTTCTACCTCTGGTGAAACCCTGGTGGGGACAACTAGCCGGGAACCAAGCAAACTCTAGTAAGAGCACACCTGGAATACTGCAACCAATGTTGGTCACCATGCTACAAAAAAGACGTTGAGACCTTGGAAAAAGTTCAGAGAAGAGCAACTAAGATGATTAGTTAATGGAGACTAAAACATAGGACGAATGGCTGCAGGATTTGAGTCTGGCTAGTCTAAGGGAAAGAAGAATTAGGGCGACATGATAGCAGTATTCCAGCATTTGAGGGGCTACCACAAAGAAGAGGGGATCGAATTATTCTGCAAAGCACCAGAGGGCAGGACAAGAAACAGTGGTTAGTAACTAATCAAAGAAAGAAAGAAGCAACCTGGAATTAAGGAGAAACTTCCTAACAGTGAGGACAATTAACCAGTGGAATAGCTTGCCTTCAGGAAACCTTGGGTGCTCCATCACTGGAGGTTTTTAAGAAGAGACGAGACAATCACTTATCTGAAATAGTATAGGTTCTCTTGCTTGAGTAGGGGGCTGGACTAGAAGACCTCCAAGGTCCCTTCCAGTTCTATTCTATTCTAAAAAACTGGTCCCAACAATCTACCTTCTTGCCTGCTTTGCAAGAAGGTACCCATCTTCTTTAAACCTGATGACACGGTTTTTGGACCTCCCCCTGAAAAACCACAGAAAAACCACCAGGAAATTCTTGCAAGTTTGCCCAACACCCTAAGCAAAGACCAGCCAGAATTTTTAAGAGTTCCCCTTCTCTCTAACCGCCAGGCAATAGTAAACAACTGAGTTTCCGTTGACTGCTTAATCTTGGCTTTGCTAATATTAAAAGAGTCCCTTCACTGCAACTCAGCAAGTGGGGTTTACATGCTGGGCTAAGCCCTCATTTGCTGGATTCTGTGTGAGTTTTGTGAACTTGAATCTTGCGGCTGAATCCAGCCCATAGACAGCAGAAGTCAGGAGATGCCTCTCCATTGGGGGCATCTTATTATTTATTTTTTGGGGATAGAGATTGTTGTTATGGGAGAAGGACCCAGGATTGTTCAATTCATTCTGGATTCAGTGGCTGAAAATTAAGTTGAATCTGGGTCTCCCCCAGTGGTAGGTTTCAATTTTTTTTACTACCGGCTTGGTGGGCGTGGCAGGGGAAGGATACTGTAAAATCTTCATTCCCACCCACTCCAGGGGAAGGATACCGTAAAATCCCCATTTCCTCCCAATCAGCTGGGACTCAGGAGGCAGAGAATAGATGGGGGCGGGGCCAGTCAAAACTTTTACTACTAGTTCTCCAAACTACTCAAAATTTCCACTACCGGTTCTCCAGAACTTGGCAGAACCTACTGAAACCCACCTCTGATCTCCCCAGTCATTAATTTCACACCATCACTATACTATATTGTCTGTTTTGGGATTATCCAGGGAGGAGGAAGAGGGGGAGGGGAAGGAAGGGGAGGGGAGGGGAGGGGGAGAAAGATACATGCCCTCGAAGCTTTATCATATGACCATGGGGATGCTGCAACAGTTGTAAGTCTGAGGACAGGTCTTAAGTCGCCTTTTTCCAGCGCTGTTGTAACTTAGATTGTTCGCTAAATGAATGGTGGCAAATCAAGGACTACCTGTATTGTCTAACTTCCCAGGCAAAACATCTATGGAGATTCTCAGTCATCCAGGTCATGGTTGTCCCAAAAGTGCTTTTTCAAGAGGCAACTAGACTTTCTGTTTTTTCTTTGAAGACATTTCGCTGCTCATCCAAGAAGCTTCTTCAGTTCTCTTCAGTAGAACTGAAGAAGCTTCTTGGATGGGAAGCGAAACGTCTTCAAGGAAAAACCAGAAAGTCCAGTTGCCTCTTGAAAAAGCACCTTTGGGATTCCCAGGCAAAGGCAGTGTGACTGCCTACCTCACAAGATGTTGTGGCCCCTGTGCCAGGGGTGAAATCTACTTACTTTCCTTATTGGTTCGGAAGCGCCTGCACCGTGCAACATCATGTGTGCACGCACATCTTCTGCGCATGCGCAAAACCTTCTGTGCATGTGCAGAAGGTAAAAAAAATTACTTCCTGGTAAAAACCAGGAAGTAATGACACCCAGGTGGCGATCGCTACTGGATCACTGAACCACAGGGAAAAATCGCTACCGGATTGGGCGATCCGGTCTGATCCGGGAGCATTTTACCCTTGCCCTGTGCCTACCAGAGCCCACCCACTTTGGGGCCAGTTTTTCTCCAACTTTAAGAGCTCCCTAAATGCATTTTTTTTTTTTTTTAAATGAGGATCCATCTCCCCATAATGGGCTTACACTGGAACTGTTTGTCCCATCTTCCGAGTTGGGGCTACTGTCGCAGCTGCGTGGCGAAGGTGGCCGGAAGATGTGCCCAGCTTCCTGGTCAAGCTCCAGATTGATGCCGCAGCCGAACACGAAGGAAGCCAACGAGTGGTAGTGTGTCAGCAGGACCAAGGCCTGGATGAGCTCGGCTAGAGACCAGCTGTTTTCCCCAGTTTTTAGCAGGGCCTGGAAGAAACAAATCCAAAAAATCTCTCAGCTCTCTACCTCAAGTCAATCTACTCTCCAAAGCACCTGAAGGCAGGACAGGAAGCAATGGATGGAAACTAACCAAGGGAAGAAGCAACCTAGAACTAAGGAGAGATTTCCTGACAGTTACCGTGTTTCCCCGAAAATAAGACCCTGTCTTATATTTTTTTGAACCCCAAAATGCTTGGCCTTATTTTTGGGGAGGTCTTACTATTTTGGGGTGCGTGGAGCAAGACGGGGCTCCTCTTGCCGTCCTACCTGATTTCCAGCTCTCTCTCCCTAACCCTAACCAGAGGAAATGGTGGGTACCAGCTAAACATGTGTTTAAATATTTTTAGGGTAGGCTTATTTTCAGGGAAGGGCTTATTATCAGGGAAAACACAGAAGAACAATTAATCAGTGGAACGACTTGCCTCCAGAAGTCGTGGATGCTCCAATACTGGAAGTTTTTAAGAAGAGATTGGATAACCATTTGTCTGAAATGGTATAGGGTTTCCTGCCTGAGCAGGGGGTTGGACTAGAAGACCTCCAAGGTCCCTTCCAACTCTGTTATTCTGTATTTTAGGGATAAGACAATAGCTTTCCTGTAAAGCAGGAGTGTCCAACCTTGGCAACTTTAAGGCTTGTGGACTTCAACTCCCAGAATTACCCAGTCTACCCTAAATCATTATTTGTCTCATTAGGGAAGATACAAAGCCATCTACAAAAGTGTAATGGACCAAGGAAATTCCCCAAAGGAATTCACTTCAACCAGAATCTAAGGCTTGAGATGTCTCCTTCCTTGTGCAACGCTATAAATTAGTTTATTTGGTTTTGTCTCAGTGTTGTCACATGAACCCAGGCATTATGGACTGTAAATCATAGTTTATGGCTTAGTGTGGAAAGAACCAAGCTGCTGTGCTTGCCGGACAAACTGGTTTTACAGAAAAATGATAGGAAAATGAAATGTTTGCCTTCTTTCGACTGCAGGAAACCAAAATAGCTCCAAGATGCTTTGATCCAACTCACTTTCCACCAAGTTCGGCACTCACCTCAATGTGTTCCTTGGTGATCAGCCAAGGCCGGTGAGCTAGGATCTTGTTGATTTCATTCAGGTTCCTGAGTTTCTGCGGGGCATACTGCAAACCTCGCAGCCAGGCTGGGTCCCCTCCTACCTGGAGAAACTCTCCCATGTGGAAGCCAACCAGGTAGGAACAGTGATGCCTGGCAGCTGCCTGAAATAGAAGGAAAATATTGTAAAGGAACTCTCAGGGGCAACCTGCGAGGACCTAATGCAGAGGTGCAAAATATCCCCAAGTATCAGGACAAGCATGGAATCAGAGGCTGGTAGAGGCCCTGTTACTTTGCACATTCCCATGTGGGCAAGATGTAATTTCCAGAAGAAGGGAAAGATGTCTAGGAATCAACTTTATACCAAGACTGACTTTGATCCATCCAGCATGGTGCTACCGTATCTACAACAGCAGGGAATCAAAATGAGGGTCTATTATTTTATTTTTTTTAGTTCTATTTGTAATTTTAGTCCTAGCAGTGTTTCTTCACCTTGGCAACTTGGATGGGTAGAGTTCAGTTCCCAGAATTCCCCATCCAGCATGGCACTCATTGTAGCAAACGGACAAGAGCAGACAGAGCTGGGTAGGCTGAGTTAAGTGAGTCATCAGTCTAGAACGGGAGTGTCAAACTCAAGGCCCCTGGCCCAGGTCCGGCCCACGGGATGCTTAGATCTGGCCTGTGGGGCCGCCATGGAAACAGTGAAGGACTGGTCCACGGTGGCTCTGCCAGTGAAAAAGGGCTCCCAATCTCCGTTTTCGGCTGGGACGGCCTCCTGCAACCCGCTGCCAGCGAAAACGGAGCTTGGGAGGAGGCCCTCTCGAGGTCCATTTTCGCTGGCAGAGGGTTGCAGGAGGCCGTCCCAGCCGAAAACGGAGCTCGGGAGCCCATTTTCTCTGGCAGAGCACTCGGACCACCACAGGCACCCCTGACACAAGTGACGTCAAGCTGGACATTCCCATCCTGGCCATACCCCCTCCCCCCAGAGGTCAAACACAACCGTGATGCGGCCCGCAATGAAATCAAGTTTGACACCCCTGGTCTGGAATCATTACGTTGCCACAAATGGTCCATGTTCAACCCCTCCTGAATTCCATTGACCCTTATCTGGCGCTAAGTTAGCACTGAACCTTAGTTCAGTTGAACTTAGTTGAACCTAGATCTCTAGGCTTGAGCAATCATTGCAACTTAAAGTATGGTCCTGATTCTTCACACCTGATATTCATGGGGTAAAAGGTGGTGTGGACAGCAAGTTCTATTGACGTTGACAATAACCACCCAGTAAAGGAGGGTTGGGTTGAGAATATCACTTGCCCAGTTTCCCATGGAGCTGCATGTCCCTGCCTGCTGGGGCTTTGAATCTAGGTCCCTGCGGTGCTCCCCCACTCACCATGATTGCGATGTAGTGGCGCTTGTGATACGGCAGTGGCCCATCCATCCTCAACAAGAGGTACTGAGTCTTCCAGAAGCTTGTCAGATACTCCGGATGTAGTCCCATCACCATGGTAATGTTATCCACTCTGCCCGTTGAAACAAAGGCTTCTATGAAGAGCCGTCGCTGGGCGCTCTCCACTCCTTCTTGTAGGATCTACAGTACAGAGAATGGGCAAGTTTGTAAAAAAAAAAAAGGCCCTGCAAGGTAGAACACCATCATACTCTCTATTGCTGGAGGAGAGGAAGATAGTTGGCTTGTCCAAAGATCCCTTGGGATAAATTTTACTAGCTCAAATGGTGGAAAGGCAGAAAACAGTGAGGTTTGGTGTAGCCATTAAGACACTAGTTGTACAAACCGGGAGACTGTGAGTTCTAGTCCTGCCTTAGGTACAAAGCTAGCTGGGCAACCGTGGGCCAGTCTCACACACTCGTCCCTTCTGAAATCTTGTCAAGAAAACAAGATTTCTTGTCAAGTTTTTCCCCTCATCGTGTCAAGTTTTTCCCCGCCTGCCATCACTCTGCTAAACAACTAATTCTCACAACACTGTCAAACTATTTACTAATACTGTATTACTTTACTATTCAATTCAAATCTTTGTTATCAGCGCACAACATATGTACAATGAACATATTCAATTTGGGGTGAATGCAAGGCAGAGCAGGCTTCAGGGATTTCTCTCGGATCGTTTGCCATTTGCCTAATTCCTAATTAATCTAACAGTAGCAACCAAAGTGAAGTTGCAGAAATAAAACATTAGCGGAAGAGGGTGGGGTGGAGAGAAAAAACAGGAGAAGAAGGTTTTTATTCGGAAAGATCTGCAAACTGAAGTTGATTTATCTGCAGCCCTAGCTTTCCATAGCTTATCGGCTATTTACCAAAATCGGGATGCTACTAGTCAACAGTTCTAAGATTAGCCCGACTCTGAAATTGTTCTTCCTGTTTTGAAAAACAAGATATGCTCTCTATCCAATCCGTTTCATGCATGAATGCCCAGTCAATAATAGCTGCCCAGAGCCCCTCCAAAGTCATGACTAAGAAGCTGTCGTTGTTTATTGTAAAAGAAAAAGTTATTAAATATCCTGGGAGTAATTGTATGAAATGATGATTGGAATGTGGGTGTAATTAATTTAAAATTAAATCCACCTGTTTGGAGCATTCCCCACCGGACACGATTTGCCACTGCTGTTCTAAAAGAAGAGATGGGGCAGAATTCAAGACCATCCTCCTTGATTATTTTTTGAAACTCCAATATCCAGATGCTGAAGCCCCGTGCAAAAGACACAGACTCAACATGCGGAAACCCAGGAATGTCTTTTTAAGTGTCAAGGTTGGTTGGTGCAGAAAGACAATGTTTAAAGGCTAATTCTGGCCGTGCGCCTCCCCCACTCCGAGCTTGCTTACTTTCAAGAGAAGTTACTTCGTGGCTGCCACGAAAAATCATATGGACATCAGAAATGCTTGCTGATCTTATGCCAGCTGCCTAGAAATCAGACAGGAGGTCAGCTGTTGGCCCACTCCCTTTGGGCGAGCATCATTTAAAACAATTTATAAGAACAGGGAGAGAACCAAAAAGAGAGCTCCAGTTTGGTCTAGTGGTAAAGGCTAGAAACCAGGAGAACTGTGAGTTCTAGTTCCGCCTTAGGAATGACGCCAGCTAGGGTGACTTTGGGCCAATCACCAGGAGACTGTGAGTTCTAGTCCCGCTTTAGGAATGATGCCAGCTAGGGTACTTTGGGCCAATCACCAAGAGACCGTGAGTTCTAATCCCACTTTAGACATGAAAGCCATCTGGGTGGTTTTGGGGCAGTCCCTCTCAACCCACCTTAACAGAGTTGTTATGGTGGGGAAAACTGGAGGAAGAAGGAGTATTTAGCTATGGTCACTAATTTGAGTTATTTATCAAAAATAATAATAATAAAGGACAGCTTGAAAAAAAAACTAATTAAAAGAAAAAGTTAGCCGTTTCCCCCTTTACAACACAGATGCTTAGCCTTCTTCTGTATGCTCAGTCCCAGTCTGCAAAATAAAACTGGGGGAAAGGATAGGGGTGTCCCAAACCCCAGCGGATTACAGCAAATTTCTCAAAAACAAAAAAAAACCCCAAACTCTCTGCAACAAGCATTGCCAAGAAGCTGTCCAGGAACACACAAGGATCCCCTTTCCAGCCGAGAGCCACAAATTCAGCAGGAAAGGGGGCAGAGGCCCTGGCCCTGCACCAGCAGGGAGGGAGAGGGCCAGCTCTCCCAGAGAGCTGGCAGAGGGGAAAACCCTATTCCACTGGATGAGAAAGTCCTTTGAGTTGGAAAGGGAAGGAGCCGTGGCATCCAGCAAACGGGGAGAGGAGCAGGATAGCTAGCCAGCCAGTCAGCAAGCAAGCCAGGAGGAAAGGCAATCATGGCTGGCTTTCTGATAAGTTGTTTGTGCACACAGGGAGGGAAGGTCATTTGATAAATACGGAGATGACGACACCCTCGGGGCAATGCTATCACCTCTCTCTCATCACACGAGCCAAAAAAATAACGAGGAAGCCAAGGTCTTAGCTCCTGCAATAAGTAAACACCACGTCTATCCTATGTTGCGAGATGCCCGGCTTACTGGCGAATTAACACCTCCCAACGGTGCCCAGCCCGCCGCTTTCTTGCAACACTGGCATGGGTTCACAGAAGGAAGGGAAACAAAGCAAACCACTGCCTTGGCTATTCACCCTCCCTTTCCAAAGGGAGCTTCTGTTTGCTGGCCTGCACTCAAGGACTTTGGAAGAGGGGCACTCCCCAAAGGACTTTGGTGATGGAGTGCAAACACATTTGCAGGGAAACTGGTAAAAGGTCAAAGTAAAGGTTCCCCTCGCACATATGTGCTAGTCGTTCCTGACTCTAGGGGGTGGTGCTCATCTCTGTTTCAAAGCCAAAGAGCCAGCGCTGTCTGAAGACGTCTCCGTGGTCATGTGGCTGGCATGACTAAATGCCAAAGGCGCACGGAACGCTGTTACCTTCCCACCAAAGGTGGTCCCTATTTTTCTACTTGCATTTTTTACATGCTTTCAAACTGCTAGGTTGGCAGAAGCTGGGACAAGTAACAGGAGCTCAACCCCGTTACGCAGCACTAGGGATTTGAACTGCTGAACTGCCGACCTTTCGATCGACAAGCTCAGCGTCTTAGCCACTGAGCCACCGTGTCCCTGGGAACTGGACAGAACAGTGAATTCTAAATGCCCAACACCCTAGTTGAGTTTACCCAACACTTGGTTAACCAACACTCCCTCAGAAGAAACACGGAATCCGCTCCTCACCCATTACCCTCCTTCCCACCACTTTCCAATTTAAATCCTACATTGATTTAACCACTATCTGCTTTTGATCAAACAAGCGGCAGTTCAAGAACGCAGATGCCTTTGAATAAACCTGACAGTCAGAAAAGGTGCTACCATACTCCTTCTGATGTTGGTTAACCCAGTCTAGGACGGATCTCCTCCTTCACGGTCAATAAGCCATGACTAAAGTAATCATGGATTGATTATTTATTTATTTAATTAATTAATTTTTATGCCGCCCTTCTTTCAAAGGACTCAGGGCAGTGAACAGCCAGGGTTAAAATACATACAATAGGAAAATTAAAATAATTTAAAAATAATTAAATCCAATTTGGCTTCCCAATTTTAAAACCCCTTACCCATAAAATTAATCAATTAAAATCTTAAACCAGGATTAGGGTATTATGTGAATCTAGACCAGAGATCTTCAAACTTGGCAGCTTAAAGACTTGTGGACTTCAACTCCCAGCTATGCTGGCTGGAGAATTCTGGGAGTTGAAGTCCACAAGTCTTAAAGCTGCCAAGTTTGGGGACCCCTGATCTAGATGCTCTCTTTGTATCGTGCCGTAAACTGGAATTTATTCTGCAAACTACGGTTACACAAGCTGTGCTTTAGTTATGGTGCACAAGTGAGACCACAGAACAAAAAGAATGTTTTTTCTCCAAGTGGTTTGTAGCCTCCAGGAGAAGGACATGGCTGGACTTTAAGCGGCCAGGAAAAACCCTTAATTGAATGATGAGCTCTTTTTCTGCAAAGCCATCCCTGCCCACTCCTTCCCAGCAATGGAGAATCCCCCTTTCTCACCAATTGCACCCCACACACACACACCCAACCTCTGCCTGGTCAAGCAAAGTTAACATGTCAAAGGTGTGCCTTAGAAGAGATGACCCTGGCATTCAGGCTGGGGAGAAGAGGAGAGGGGAAAGGAAGGAGAGAGGGAGAGGGAGAGGGAAAAGAAGATGAAGGGGAGAGGAGAGGAAGGAGAGGGACAAGAGAGGAGGGAGGGGAGAGGGCAGGAGAGTGAGGGAGGGGAGAGGGAGGGAGGGAGGGGAGAAGAGGAGTAAGGGGAGAAGAGAAGAAGGGAGAGGGACAAGAGAGGAGAGAGAAGACGAGGAGGAGAGGGCAGGAGAGAGGGGAGAGGGAGGGGAGAGGGGAGGAGAGAGGGAAGAGGGAAGGGGAGAATGGAGAGGAGAGGGGAGAGGGAGGGGGAGAGGAGAAGGGGAGGGATAAGAGAGGGGATAGGAGAGGGAGGGGAGAGGGAGGGAGGGGAGAAGAGGGTGAAGGGGAGAAGAGAAGAAGGGAGAGGGACAAGAGAGGAGAGAGAAGAAGAGGAGAGGGCAGGAGAGAGGGGAGAGAGAAGGGGAGACAGGAGGAGAGAGGGAGGAGAGAGGGAGGGAGGGGAGAGGGAGAAGAGAGGGAAGGAGAAGAGGATGAAGGGGAGAGAAGAAGGAGTGGGACAAGAGAGGAGAGAGGGCATGAGAGGGAGGCAGGGGAGAGGGAGAAGAGGAGAGGGAGGGGAGAAGAGGATGAAGGGGAGAAGAGAAGGAGAGGCATAAGAGAGGAGAGAGGGAGAGGAGAAACTGTGCTTTATCCCCTTACCTCTTCCACTGGGATGAAAGAACTGGGGCCTCTTCCCAGCTGCTGGGGGATTTTTATCCCTCTATCCTGGGAATAAAAGAAAGGATGTTACAAGACACTCCCATCCTGAACACACCCCTGTTGTCCTCAAGGCTTCAAAGGGGAAGCTCCCCACCCTGCTCTCTTGAGCCAGGATCAAACGGCGGGATCCGATGGGGGGGGAGGGGGAGAGGAGGAAGACAAAGCCACAAGGCCAAAAGAGCAGAGGTGGGGGGCAGAGAGGCACACACCTAGCCTAGCACAAGCCTTATATTGATTTCTCAGGGAAAAAAAAAACCCGCTTGTTGATAAATTGTTCCCTGTCCTCCTCTCCTCCCCTGCAGGAATTGCATCAGAGGCACCTGCCCAAACCTAGTTAACCCAGCAGAAAGACCCACTTTTAAGACGGCAACCAGGTGCACGGCAGGGAGGCTGAGAACCAAACCCCCAAATAACAAGCTCCAATATTACCTCTGCTGCCCCAATCTCCACCACCACCACCACCAAGGACCAGGTTTCCTTGCTATGGGGTAAAACATCCGTGCTGTGCAATGGAGCTGAGGCTTACATCAGCCGGAGATGCTGATCATTTCACTTCACTTCCCCCTCCACCCGCTCTGGAGAAGCTGGAGATCTTTAACCCAGTTTCCTTTTCTTCTTTCACACAGCTGACGGTGCCAAATGAAAAGAAGAAGAAGGAAAAAAAAAAAAAGACCTCCAGGCTATTAGACTATCAAGACAGCTGATCCTACCCATTGCTGGGTGAATTCCATGACTAAGTAAACAGCAAGCAGATGTTTCTTTCTTTGAAACGCCTTTCTTCCGCCAACTCAAGGTGGCACCAATTCTACCTTAGGCTATACAGGCTAGCAGCTCCAGGATATTGTAGGCACAAAGTTTATTTATTTGTATCCCACCATTATTATTTTTTACAAATAAGGCAGCAAACATATCCGACATACCTTTCCCCCCAGGGGTGAAATCTAGCAGGTTCTGACAGGTTCTGGAGAACCGGTAGCAGAAATGTTGAGTAGTTCGGAGAACCGGTAGTAAAAATTCTGACTGGCCCCGCCCACATCTATTCTCTGCCTCCCGAGTCCCAGCTGATCGGGAGGAAATGGGGATTTTGCAATAACCTTCCCCTGGAGTGGGGAGGGAATGGAGATTTTACAGTATCCTTCCCCTGCCACGCCCACCAAGCCACGCCCACAGAACTGGTAGTAAAAATTTTTGAAACCCACCACTGACCGGTAGCGGAAATTTTGAGTAGTTTGGTGAACTGGCAAATACCACCTCTGACTGGCCTCAGAGTGGGATGGGAATGGAGATTTTGCAATATCTTTCCCCCAGGAGTGGGGAGGGAATGGAGATTTTTCAGTATCCTTCCCCTGCCACGCCCACCAAGCTACACCCACCAAGCCACACCACGCCTACCAAGCCAGGCCCACAGAACCGGTAGTAAAAAATATTTGGATTTCACCACTGCTTCCCCCCCTCCTATTTTCCCCACAACAACGGCCCTGTGAGGTAGATCGGGCAGAGAGAGAGGGGGGGACTGGCCCAACTGGCTTTCATGGCTAAGGCAGGACTTGAACTCACCATCTCCCGTTTTCTAATCTGGTTGCCTTAACCACTAAGACTAAACAGTCTCTTCTCTGCCAAAATTTATTTCTCTGCCCACTTATTCTCTGCATAAGTGGGTTTATATGGTACCCCAAAACAGAAGGCAGGAGCTACTTAAAACCAGAGTTAGCCCATAGGTATGGTTCAGCACAGTGTGTAACAAGAGGGCTCTGATGGTATAAGCCACTTCTCTGGAATTTTTATTTTTTTTCCTATGGAAAAATACAGACGGAAAGACTTCTGTACTTTCAAATGCTTTCTATTTGCCGGTGAAAATTTACACTAGAACAATCACCTGCCTGGGTTAGGAATGGCTCATTTTTCTGTTTCAGACATTTTTTTAAAAAAGAAAATCTTCATTAAAATTTCACAGCAACCAAATGTGACAGGTCATGAAGCAATTGCCATGATAAGAGTCAGCCGAATGTCCCAAAGGGGCTTCTTCCAAGAGCCAACCTGCGTTTTTCTTGGGGTTTTTTTTTTTCTTTGAAAACATTTTGTTTCTCATCCAAGAAGTTTTTTCAGTTCACTTCTTGGACGAGAAGCGAAATGTTTTCAAAGGAAAAAAACCAAGGAAGTCCAGTTGCCTTTTGGAAAAGCACCTTTGGGACAAGAGCCAGCGCTATCCGAAGACGTCTCCGTGGTCATGTGGCCGGCATGACTCAACGCCAAAGGCGCACGGAAACGCTGTTCCCTTCCCACCAAAGGTGGTCCCTATTTTTCTACTTGCATTTTTATGTGCTTTCGAACTGCTAGGTTGGCAGAAGCTGGGACAAGGAACTGGAGCTCATCCCATTACGCGGCACTAGGGATTCGAACCGCTGTACTGCCGACCTTTCGATCGACAAGCTCAGCATCTTAGCCACTGAGCCACCGTGTCCCTTGCTCTGATACTTGGGCATATTTTGCAGCTCTGCATTAGATCCTCGCAGGTTGCCCTTGGGAGTTCCTTTACAATATTTTCCTTTTATTTTCAGGCAGCTGCCAGGCATCACTGTTCCTATTGAACGGTGGAGAGTTTTTCCAGGTAGGAGGAGCAGAGGGTTGCAGGAGGCCGTCGCAGCCAAAAACGGAGCTCGGGAGCCCGTTTTCGCTGGCAAAGGCATTGCTGGCCAGTCTTTTACTGTTTCCAGGCTGGCCCCACGGGCCAGATCTAAGCACTCCGTGGGCCAGATCTGGCCTGTGGGCCTTGAGTTTGACACCCCTGTTCTAAGCAAACTTGAACTGGCTGACATCTTCTTAACCACACCCTAGAACTGCCCTTTCTTACAGATCTGTTTCCCTTAAGCATGTCTCTTCAAGAATGAGGATTTTTAGGCGCTCAATAACCGCAGCTTCCAATCTCTTACCACAGAGAAACTTTCACAAAGAAAATTATCCTCAGCCATGAGATGTAAAGCCGATCAGCTCGAGGGCTTGTTAAAGGCTCTTTTGATGTGGCTCCGTAGCAAACACACTCCTTGCCACGAAATCAAGGGATACAATCAGCAAACTTCATCCTTTGTTTGTTTTTTCCTCTTGTAGTTGTTTTTAAAATCTTACAGCACTATAAAGAGGTGAACAGTCCCAGCAGTTTTTACAGCATGTGAGGTACTGGCTTTAGTGCATCGTGTACAATGAGGCAACCGAGTTTGGTAATTTATGGGGTTATCGCTTACTATACTGTTTCTTAATACATGGTCCTAGGAGCCCTGGGAATCCCCCAAAACCCTCTCGGGGATCCTTGAAATCCAGCCCTTGTTGGAAAATAATATATTATTAAAATTTCAGTATTTGAGGGGCTGCCACAAAGAAACGGGGAGGTCGAATTACTCTCCAAAACATCCGAGGGCAGGACAAGAAATAATGGTTGGAAACTGATCAAAGAGAGAAGCAACCTGGAATTAAGGAGAAACTTCTAAGTGAGGACAGTTAACCAGCGGAACAGCTTGCCTCCAGAAATCATGCGTGCTCCACAGTGATGAAATCCAATATTTTTTACTACAGGTTCTGTGGGCATGGCTTGGTGGGCGTGACAGGGGAAGGATATTGCAAAATCTCCATTCCCAATCCACTCTGGGGCCAGCCAGAGGTGGTATTTCCCAGTTCTCCGAACTACTCCAAATTTCCACTACCGGTTCTCCAAACTGCTCAAAATTTCCGCTACTGGTTCTACAGAACCTGTCAGAACCTGCTGGATTTCACCCCTGGTGCTCCACCACTGGAGGTTTTTAAGAAGAGATTTGACAGTCACTTGTCTGAGATTGTATAGGTTCTCTTATTTGAGCAGGGGGCTGGACTAGAAGACCTCCAAGGTCCCTTCCAGCTCTATTCTATTCTATTCTATTCTATTCTATTCTATTCTATTCTATTCCCCCATCTTATAATTCTGAGAAGAGGTAACAGTAAATACATCAATTTCAATGTTTAATATAGTAAATATTGATAAATATAACTCACACTGTTACAAACAAAAGATTTTTGGAGTGCTCTGTAATTTTTAAAAGTGGGAAGGGGTCTTGAGAGAGAGAGAGAGAGAAAGAAAAAATAAGAAACGCTGACTTAGATTATTGGGCAGGTAGGTCCCTGCTCCTGATTTAGTCAATTAGAATCATTAACAAATAGAATCATGTTTAAGAAGAACTATACTTTGCATGAATCCAACCTGCAAGATGTTTAAAATAGTTACACACTTTTGGAAACTGGCACTCAAAAGACACAAACTAAAATGCCGTAGAGATACATTTGTTCGGGCAGAATCTGTGTCAGCTACGTAATGTGTGAAACTGTTCTCCTCTTAGAGATGTTACATTACAACATAAGTAATGCTGAAAGCGTAAGAAAAGCTGTCTTGGATACTGAGGGATGGAACAGGACTCATTTTTTCCCCTCCCCTTCTCACGAAGCAAAGATCTCCACATTTTACCCACTCATGGTTCACTAGGAAGATAAAAGCAATCTGAGTCAACAGTTCATAGAAATGCTGACTCCTGAATCTGAAAGGAAAAAAAAAAAATGGAGAGAAGCCAGCAACCCACAGCTGGAAGCCCAAGCAAGGTTTTCTGGAAGACCAGCTTTTTACCACTCTTCTCCCCCCACCACCATCAGCCCTCCTCTCCCCCAGCCCCACTCCGCCCCCCTGCAACACACATATCTGAAGTGAGCAAGTGCGACTCTGATGGAAAATAAAGCCTGCAGAACTGCTGACTCTGCAGGCGTCTTTTCCAGCCAGCCAGCCAGCGGAGCAAGCGCACACGTGATCCATCAAAGGAAAACAGCAGGGCAACAGCCAAGCAGCTGGCACAGGTTGCCAAATTGCTAGTTCAGGACTATTCCTCTGTCACCAGGTGCTTTGGCAAAGGGTAACTATATTTCAAAACAAGTACAGGTAGTCCTCGGCTTACATCAGATCATTTAGTGACGGTTCAAAGCAGAGGTGGGTTTCA